GTTGGATAATCATAATCTTCAGTTTAACCCATCCATTATTTTTTAACTTCAACTATTATATTGTAAATATCTATTTACTGTATTTGGCTCTTTATCAAAAATGCCCAGCCACTTTTTATAGTTATTTTCTGGTGAGATTTTTATGACCACTTTTACTTCTTAAAGCATATTGAATATATTTTAAAATATTTTTTATGTGATGGCTCCACATTCTTTTGTTGATCTAGCTCCAAGTTTCTATTTGTTTCATTTTATTTGCTTTTGGAATTTTTTATATCAGTGTTTTGTTTTCCTGGGATACTCATGTTTCCTTGTATTGTTATATGTATTTTTGTTATTGTATATTATATATTTATATTAATTTATAAGTAATTTTATATTAATATCACATAAATGCAATCATATATAATTACTATTTATATAATATATAGCATATATTATATTGTTATAGATAATATATAATATATGAATCCCAAATATATATATACTGATATGAAATAATATATAAATACATTACACATAATATATGATTATAATAATGTATAATGTATACACTATATAATATATAAATCTCAAATATATATTTGAACTTTGTGAGACATGTTGTTGAATCCTAACTACCAACACTTTTTTTTTTTTAACTTTTTTGAAATTTTTGAGAGCAAGAGAGACAGAGCGTGAGCAGGGGAGGGGCAGCGAGAGAGAAGGAGACACAGAATCTGAAGCAGGCTCCAGACTCAGCTGTCAGCACAGAGCCTGTTGCAGGGTTCGAACCCACAAACAGTGATATTAGGACCTAAGACAAAGTTGGTCACTTAACCCACTGAGCCACCCAGGTGCCCCAGTACCAACAGTTTTAAGTGATGCTTTGTTGTGTATATGAGTTTGCTTGTTTGCTTTTTTTCATTTTACAAATAGTGTTTCTATATGACATTTCTGCAACTATTCTCATATGCCTTGCTGGGCTTTGTTTATGCTACCATTTAAGTTTGCATTATATATTCCCATGTGTTTCCTGTTATGGGTTGAATTGTGTCCTCTAAAACATATATTTTTAAGTGTTAAACCTCAGTATGTCAGAATATGACCTTATGTGAAAATAGGGTCTTTACAGAGGTAATCAAGTTACAAGGAGGTCTTTCAGGGTTAGGACTTTAATCCAATATGACTGGTGTCCTTATAATAAGGGGCAATTTGGACATAGAGACAAACATTCACAAAGGGAAGACAATGTGAACACCCAGGGAGAAGATGTCCATGTAGCTGGAATGATGTCATTACAAGTCAAGGAACACAAAGGATTTTGGGCAAGGCCCAGAAGCTAGAAGAGGAAAAGAAGGATTCTCCCGTACAGTGATCAGGAAAAGAATGGCCCTGCCAGATATTTAGATCTCAGGCTTCTAGGCTCCAGAACTGTAAGCAAATTTCTGTGGTTTTGACACTTTGTTAAAGCAGCCCTAGCTAATTAGTACATTTCCCAAAACCATGGTGCCAAAATTAACACCCATCAGCTCTGCGTAATAGTTCCCATTATACCACATACTTTGAATACTTGGTTTTGTCAGATTTAATTTTTGTCAATTTAGTAGGTATAAAATGGCATCACATCATGGCCTTAATTTGCATTTGCTTGATTAAAATCCAACATATTTCTGTTTATTTACCTTTCTTGTTTCCTCTACTGGAAACTGTTCACCATTCATATTCTTGACCAATTTTTCTGGTAGCTTATGTGTCTTTTCTTATGGACTTTAGACATACTATGTTTTTCAAGGTGAAATTATTCTCTTTATTTGTAACATGTTTCACTTTCTCTATATTGTCTGTTATTTAGAGAAGTTATTAGTTAGAGCATAGATTGATTCATCAACCTTTTATCTTATGCATTGTTAATCGTTTGTCCTATTTTAGAAATTTCCTTGCTAAAGATTGCTAAAATATTGGCCTACATTTACTTGTAAATTAAAGTTTTAGAAACAACTTGTGTGTGTAGTGTGTGTGTGTGTGTGTGTGAGCTGAGGATTGTTGCAGATAACCAAAAAGACACTGACTCAGAATTTTTAACTAAAGTTTTTGCATATAGAAAGGAAATTGAAGAGGGACCTTTGCAGGATAAAGTTGAAAATTGGAGATAAACACATCTCTGTGTAATCTCCCTCCCATGTAACTTACAGCTGTCTTTGGCAATAAAATAATTTGGTTAATATATAGATATGCCTTAGTATTTTGTAGTTCAATAATTATTCTGAAACATGAAGGAAAAGGGGAGGAAACTTACGATGTTAATTCAAAAGAAGTCATAAGGCAGAGATACCTGTAATACTGACAGAGCTGAATTAGCCTTCATTAGGAAATTTCATAGCTTATTTATAAAGATTGTTGACAATATATTCCATTAAAATATTAAAGAGCTATTTGTTTCCTAAGAATGTATGTGCATATAAGTACATACAAATACATATGGATCTATACACACACGTATATGTATTTATATACATATTTACTTATATGTATGTGTGTTTCTATCTCACCAGGCATTTGATATGTTGTTCTATATCTTGTGGCACCTTACTCCATCATTTTCCTTCTTTTGTGACTTTATGAGTCAAATATTTACAACTGTATTTTTATTCAGCTATAATATATCTTTCCAGGGCTGGTAATGTCTCTCGCTCTTGTAAAAAGCGCTTGAAAAAGAAAGGTATGGCAAGAGGCAGTGAAGAAGAAGGATCCCCCCAGGTAGCATAATTTCAGTGGTTTTCTTATCCATACACAGATTCTCCCTGGAGCAACTGTAGACTGACTTATAATCCTTTACCTTTGTGTTGATGGATGCTACAGTGTCATCTTTCTCTTCTAGCGGTTAACTCTGCTTATGTCTGTAAAAAATATAGTTCTTCAGGATCTTATGAACCCACACTAGGAATGTAAAATGTTGTGAAAGGTGGTTTGTTTTTAGGTCACATTTTCCTGCAAAACATTAATCCTAGTTAATTGTGGAGACAATTTGTTGTTGCATAACCCATCTGTGGATTACGTGGAGCTTGCTATATGTCCTTCTTGCTTGAAGAGGCCATAAAAATAATGATCAATTTTGTAGAGATGGTAAATATCCTCAGGCCAAAAGGGGATTTCAGTTTTCTACTTACTTTTGTAGGTTCTCATTTTCTGTCAACTTGGTGCTTGTCCTTTTTTAATACCTTCAAGTGTATATTTCTATCTCAATTTATGATCCACAAATATTGTTTTCCAGTTAAACTGAATTATCTAGCTTCATTGCCAGAAGCCTGTTTTAATGATTTTCAGTCAACTAAATTATTATTGTATTATCAATGATCACGTTTTCAAAATGATGGACAGTAGAAATAAGTTGATTTTTGTGTTTTTCTATTTATCCCATTAATCTTTGATATCTCACTTAATTTCAGTCTGAAGAATTCCTGATCTCACTTTCCATTCCTCTGACTTACAACAGCAAATCTCCAAGAAAATTTAGTTTATATTATGGAAAACACTTGTGACCAGTGTTTGGGCATTAGGGTTGTGTTTCATGCTAGTGGCATAAAATTCTAGGCCTTTTCAGAGACAATGATTAAAATAAAAACGTACAGTTAGTTTATAAGTGTGAATTTATACATAAAAATTTGTGTAATCAGTTTTAATATTATGGTGTTTCTATGAAATATTTTTATTCTGTTATAGCACAGGATTTTCTTTTAGGCTTTAAAAACTTTAAAAACACTAATATTATAAACTTAGAGCACTCTAAATTCATTTTGAAGGATACAGATATTTTATTTTTATTTTTATTTTTTTTATTTAAAAAAAAAATTTTTTTCCAACGTTTATTTATTTTTGGGACAGAAAGAGACAGAGCATGAACGGGGGAGGGGCAGAGAGAGAGGGAGACACAGAATCGGAAACAGGCTCCAGGCTCTGAGCCATCAGCCCAGAGCCTGACGCGGGGC